TGGTCTCTCTGGTCTCTGTCTGGTCTCTGTCTGGTCTCTCTCTGGTCTCTCTCTGGTCTCTTGCTGGTCTCTCTCTGGTCTCTCTCTCTGGTGTCTCTCTCTGGTCTCTCTCTGGTCTCTCTGGTCTCTGTCTGGTCTCTCTCTGGTCTCTCTCTGGTCTCTCGCTGGTCTCTCTCTGGTCTCTCTCTGGTCTCTCTCTTTGGTGTCTCTCTCTGGTCTCTCTCTGGTCTCTCTCTGGTCTCTCTCTCTGGTGTCTCTCTCTGGTCTCTCGCTGGTGGTCTCTCTCTGGTCTCTCTCTGGTCTCTCTCTTTGGTGTCTCTCTCTGGTCTCTCTCTGGTCTCTCTCTGGTCTCTCTCTGGTCTCTCTCTGGTCTCTCTCTTTGGTGTCTCTCTCTGGTCTCTTTCTTATCTCCCTCTAGTCTCTCCCTAATTCCTCTCTTCGGTCTCTCTGGTCTCTCTCTAGTCTCTCTCTAGTCTCTTGCTGGTCTCTCTCTAGTCTCTCTCTAGTTTCTCTCTGGTCTCTCTCTGGTCTCTCTCTGGTCTCTCTCTGGTCTCTCTGTGGTCTCTCTTTGGTCTTTCTCTCTGGACTCTCTCCCTTCTCTCGCTCTCTGCTCTCTCCCTGGTTTCTCCCTGGTCCCTCCCTTGTCTCTCTCTGGTCTCTCTCTAGTCTCTCTTTGGTCTCTCTCTGCTCTTTATCTCTGGACTCTCTCCCTTGTCTCTCCCTTGTCTCTCTCTCTGGTCTCTCTCTCTCTCTGTGGTCTTTCCGTACTCTCTCCCTTTTCTTTCTGGCTGTTCTCTCTCTAGTCTCTCTCTAGTCTCTCTGTGTGGTTTGAAAATCAGGTCCCCCAGCTTTAAGATGAGACTTCCAGACGTGAGGTCAGGTCACTTCTCCAGGATGTTTCCATTTAAGGAGCAGACCTCAGTGTTTATCCTCTGCTCCTCTGCTCTTCTCTCCTGATCCACATCCTCCTTCACAAACTCAAAAGCTCCTCTGCTCTGCTCTGGTCTCTCACTTTGACTCAGTTTTCCAGTGATACACAGCTGTGGTTATAAAATGGAAGGAAAGAGAGGACCATGAGAGAGAAGTAAGCAGTGTAGTAGGTGAAGCATCTCATTTTCCTCAAGACAAAACAATGCAGTATGTAAAATCCATTTGGTTCGTCTCTCTGAAAAAGTTGTTTCTATCAATAATTCTCATGTACAAAGCTCCACTTCTGTCTGCACATGTCTTGCTATCTAATACTAACATCTCTTTCTGGGGTCTCTCTTGTCTCTCTCTTACTCTCTGGACTCTTTCTAGTTTCTCTCTGGTCTCACTCTGGTCTTTCTTTGGTTTTTCTCTCTGGTCTCTTTCTCTCTCTGAACTCTTTCTGGGCGCTGTCTGGTCCCTCTCTTTGTCTCACTCTGGTCATTCTTTGGTTTCTCTCTCTGGTCTCCCTCTGTCCCCTTTCTCTGGTCTTTCACTCTCTCTGGTCTCTCTCCCTCTCTCTCTCTCTGGACTCTTTCTGGGCGCTGTTTGGCCTTTCTTCGGTTTCTCTCTCTCTGGTCTCTCTTTGTGGTTTCTCTCTGGTTTCTCTCTAGTCTTTCCCTCATCTGTCTCTCTTGCCTCTCTCTCTAGTCTCTCTCTCTCTCTCTCTCTGGACTCTCTGGTTTCTCTGTTTTCTCACTGGTCTTTCCTTCGTCTATCTCGCTGGCCTCTCTCTGGTCTCTTTCTTGTTCTCTGGAGTTTCTCGTTTCTCTCTGGTTCCTCTCCAGTCTTTTCCTAGTCTGTCTCGGTTGCCTCTTTCTCTGGTCTCTCTATCACTATCTCTGGCCACAAAAAACACATAGAGCTATTGGTCCATTAGGGGCAGATGACCATTGTCCACACATGTTGATAAATGTCCATAACTGTTGAATGTCTGTCCTTGATCACCAACACTGTCCTTCGATCTTCCTGTAAAGTTTTTTTTAATTTGGTTTTGACAAATAAACACAAGGCCCAACGGCACAACGGCAGTGTGTGGTTACTGTGCAGATCACAAATGGAACTAGTGACTTCCGTTCCAGTTTCACGGCTGTAGAATCACATAGTTCCATATGTCCGCTCACATAAATTCCTCTCGCTCTCGGTGGGAAAGCAGTGACACGGTCTGTTGTGAGAGGCGGCTTTAGTCAGAGCTCTTTGGAAGTCCACCTGCAGCACGTCATGTGTGAAATGCATCCGTTACAGGACACACACAGAAGCAGAAGCAGAGAGAGAAGAGAGAAGGGAAGAGAGAGAAGGGAGGAGACAGAGAAGAGAGGAGCAGGGAGAAGAGAGAGGAGAGAGAGAGAAGAGATGGGAGGGAGGAGCAGAGAGAGGAGAGAGAAGAGAGGAGCAGGGAGGAGAGGGAGAGAAGGGACGAGAGAGAGGAGCAGAAAGAGGAGAGAGAAGAAAGGAGAGAGAGAAGAGAGATGCAGGGAGAGGAGAGAGGAGAGAGAGAGAAGGGAGAGAAGAGAGGAGCAGGAAGGAGAGAGAAGAAAGGAGCAGAGAGATAAGGGAGAGAAGAGAGAGGAGAGTGGAGCAGAGAGAGGAGAGGAGAACAGAGAGAGAAGAGAGGAAAGTCAAGAGAGAGAGGAGAGGAGCAGGGAGAAGAGAGAGGACAGAAAGAAAAGAGACGGGAGAGATAGGAGAGAGAGAGAAGAGACGGGGTGAGAAAGCAGAGAGGAGAGATAGAAGGCGAGCACATGTCATTATTCATTCACTCCATACACGGTAGTGATAAACTACAACTATAGCCACAGCTGCCCTGGGGCACACTGACAGAAGCGAGGTAGCCATTTTGTGCCATCGGCCCCTCTGACCTCCACCAACCATTCACACATACACCAAGCTTATTCTAGACAATGTGGTGAAGAACAGTTTGGCCCCACTGAGTGTAAGAGGTCGGAGGTCCCAGAGGTCTCCCATCACAGTACTAACAGGCCCTGCCCCGCACAGCTTCAGAGGTCTGACAGGATCTGGCTCTAACCTGCAGGTATGGCCACTAATGATTAGCCTGACTCTGGCCAGACCCATGTAGTTCGCTGCACTTCACACATGAGTCTGGTACTGAGCCATAGTGGTTGGATTTCAGAAGGCAGGGCCTTGTAAAAAAAATCCTTGTATGTGATTGGATAGACCACTTGTCCGTTATCTTGAATGAAGTCTGCTTTCGACCACTCACATCGAAGCACACGGCTCCCATAGGTTGCCAAATCCCAGCAAGATTTTCCAACCCAAAATCTGCGAGAATACCCACACAAAAAAAACACTGAGAAGGATTTTTTGGCTAAAAACGTAATGTAATCAACTTGGGCTATCATGATTCTGTTTATTGTCTTTCTGTTTATTTAATACCTACAAGTCTCTTGGAAAAAAATATGCGGGAACCACCAAACCTGGCAACCCTGCTGCATAGTGTGTAAACAGGAACACTGAACCAGTGCTTCAACCAAACTTTACAGGAGTATTTGACTCTTAAAACACACATATATCAACATAGAACCATCTACATCTCGCCTCAAATTGCATTAAAAGTGACATCCGTGTCTTAATTTGATCGTATTTACACTTTTAAAAAGATTTGCGGACTTTACGTCTGCCATCTTGGATTCTTCTCGCTGCTGCACGAGAGAAGCTTGAGAAGGCAGTGCAAACCCCACGTAACACCGGCAATCCTGATTGGTCGATTAAAAAATAATCTGGGGAAGGCGTTCGCTATGGGCTCGATACCAGACCCATGTGGTTCAGCCAAACGCCTCTGGTGGAGCATGGCGGAACTACAAGGGTCTGGCAGAGCCAGGCTAACTAATGACAGGTTTATGTGGATAAAGTCACAATCAGTCACTTTTTTAAATTGAGAAGATGGAGAAAATTCATTAAATGCAAGCCCCACTTAGACCCGCCCCCACAGCTCTCTGATTGGACGAAATTAATTCAAATATCTGAAGACATAGGTTTCCTACTGTGTGTAAACTTACAACTTGTGAATATTTCCCAGAGACTGCTTCTGTCCTCAGCTCCGTCAGAACGTTTATTTTCACTCGTGCCTCGTCTCTTTGATGCACTGTTGTCGTTTGTCTGATGAAACTCAGAGAGATCAGAGAAAAAAAAGCAGAACGCACCGGGAAAAAGTGCAGGTCTGTGTGCTTTACGAGCACATGGTCAACATTACACTGACTCTCTCTGTAAAGAATCCCCATCGACCTGTGTGAGCCGTGAACTTACACAAAGCGATGCAGAAGGAACCATTGAGGTTGAATTATGGGATGTAAACCTAAAAACTAAGGTCAAATGTTTCGAAAATGTACGACAATGTTAAATGTTGCGGCGGCAGTGACTCAGTTGGTAGAGCAGTGGCCTTTGGGCCTGAAGGTCATGGGTTTGAGCCCATCATAAGACCTACTTCCTGACTCCCACTGATGACTGCTGTCATTGGGTCCTTGTCCTAAGACACTTAACCCACTTTGCCTGAAGCCCCCGCTGAAAGACCAAGGCTCCTGTGGACTCAGCACCTGCAGGAGGATCAGTGAGGGGCTGGGTGCAGCTCTAACCAAGTCTCTGAACCCAGGAGTCCAAGTCTATGACCTTGAGTCCAAGTCTGGTCTAAGTCTCTGACCCTGAACCCAAGTCAAGTCTAAGTCAAGTTAGAACTTACATTTTCACCTTCACAGTTGTTGCAAAGTGTGAAAATAATGTGTTTTTAAATCCATCCAAAGTTTCTCAGATAAACTACTATTTTCACTGTAACAGACGCTGCAGCCAAACACGTGGTGAACAGTGCCCCCTGCTGTCCACAAAGGCCACACACAGGCTTCAGAGACTGTGAAGGAACAATGTCCAACGCTGGGGCCCATGGTTGTGACTCTCTGGGATCTTCATTTGGATTCATTTGAGAAAAGAGACTAGAGCATATTTTTTAGTTCACAAACAGCAGAGAAATGACCGTTTTTATCATATTCAGCCTCTTATGTCCTCCTCTTCTTCATCATTTATGTTTAGGTTTGTGCTCTATGTCCAGCTCTATGTTCAGCTCTATGTTCAGCTCTATGTTCAGCTCTATGTCCCAGCTCTATGTTCAGCTCTATGTTCAGCTCTATGTCCAGCTCTATGTTCAGCTCTATGTTCAGCTCTATGTCCAGCTCTATGTTCAGCTCTATGCTCAGCTCTATGTTCAGCTCTATGTTCAGCTCTATGTCCGGCTCTATGTTCAGCTCTATGTTCAGCTCTATGCTCAGCTCTATGTTCAGCTCTATGTTCAGCTCCATGTTCAGCTCTATGTCAGCTCTATGTTAAGCTCTATGTTAAGCTCTATGTTAAGCTCTATGCTCAGCTCTATGTTGCAGCTCTATGTTCAGTTCTATGTTAAGCTCTATGTTAAGCTCTATGTTCAGCTCTATGTTCAGCTCTATGTTCAGCTCTATGTCCCAGCTCTATGTTGCAGCTCTATGGTCAGCTCTATGTTCAGCTCTATGTTCAGCTCTATGTCCAGCTCTATGTTCAGCTCTATGTTCAGCTCTATGTTCAGCTCTATGTTCAGCTCTATGTTAAGCTCTATGTTCAGCTCTATGTTCAGCTCTATGTTCAGCTCTATGTTCAGCTCTAGGTTCAGCTCTAGGTTCAGCTCTATGTTCAGCTCCACGTTCAGCTCTAGGTTCAGCTCTATGTTCAGCTCTATGTTCACCTGTGTGTTCAGCTCTATGTTGCAGCTCTATGTCAGCTCTATGTTGCAGCTCTATGTTCAGCTCTATTTTGCAGCTCTATGTTGTGCCTCTATGTCAGCTCTATGTCAGCTCTATGTTCAGCTCTATGTTCAGCTCTATGTTCAGCTCTTTGTTCAGCTCTATGTTCAGCTCTATGTCAGCTCTATGTTCAGCTCTATGCTCAGCTCTATGTTCAGCTCTATGTTCAGCTCTATGTTCAGCTCTATGTCAGCTCTATGCTCAGCTCTATGCTCAGCTCTATGTTCAGCTCTATGTTCAGCTCCATGTTCAGCTCTATGTTAAGCTCTATGTTAAGCTCTATGCTCAGCTCTATGTTGCAGCTCTATGTTGCAGCTCTATGGTCAGCTCTATGTTGCAGCTCTATGTTTCAGCTCTATGTCCCAGCTCTATGTTAAGCTCTTTGTTCAGCTCTATGTTCAGCTCTATGTCCCAGCTCTATGTTGCAGCTCTATGTTGCAGCTCTATGTTGCAGCTCTATGTCCCAGCTCTATGTTGCAGCTCTATGTCCCAGCTCTATGTTGCAGCTCTATGTCCCAGCTCTACTGTATGTTGCAGCTCTTTGTTTAGCTCTATGTTCAGCTCTATGTTGCAGCTCTATGGTCAGCTCTATGTTAAGCTCTATGTTCAGCTCTATGTTCAGCTCTATGTCCCAGCTCTATGTTGCAGCTCTTTGTTTAGCTCTATGTTCAGCTCTATGTTCAGCTCTATGTCCCAGCTCTATGTTGCAGCTCTTTGTTTAGCTCTATGTTCAGCTCTATGTTCAGCTCTGAAACCTGCATCTCACTCAAACAGCCTCAGTCTCTATGAAGAGCTTTCCCTGTAAATCTGGCCAAATTTTTGTTTTTGATGATGGGATTATCTGTAATTACAAGGGCCCAAGCCCCGGCGATCCAAGATGGCGCCCAATTCAAATGAATGGTTCGTGCTCAGTAGCGCCGGGACTTCATGGAGACCGGGAGATTCGCTGAACTCGCCTATATTTGGGCATCGTCTGGTCCTCCCGGTTCTGCGCAGTGGATTAGCGCAACGCATGATGGGAGATATCTCCCATCATGCGTCGCGCCAAACGTGCGTGTGTGGTTTTCATGCACGTGCACAGAGGGGCTCGGCCGCGCTCTGACCAATCAGAGCTGATCATCAGAACAGCGGAAGAGTGAAGCCAGGGCGAGAAGGCAGGGAGCAGAGTTTGTGGCAGTAAAGTGTGGATTTAAAGAAAACCGAAGGATTTAAGAAGAAAAAAAGTTCAGGATGACAAGGGACACTAAAATCCCCACAAACTCCGACCTCTATGAAAGCTGTAGGTTCTCTGTCAGGTTCTCTGTCAGGTTCTCTGTCAGCTGAGGTCGAGCTGTTTTAATATGCATTGAGTTCAATGGGACTTTTTTCTGGGTAGCCCACGTGAATTTAGTCTGCAGTACCACGGGCGCCCCCTGTGCCCATGGGTGGGACAGCTTTAAGCTAGTAATACCCTATCCAGTTAATATTATAGATCCATGCAAGGGCCTGGTTTGTGCTAATGGGCTGTTAGCATGCTAGTGGATAATTTGTGTGAACCAGAATCAGAGAAGCGAAATAATAACAGTGGTATTTTCAAATAACAGTGGTATGACATGGTCCTGATGAGAAGGTGCTGATAGAGTTATAGCAGCAATATGTAAGATTTTCATCTGAAGTCATCATTAAAGGGCCTAATCTGTCAAATACATTAATAAAATATGGTGTTTTCCTTTTTTTTTAACTGTAGTTCAGAGATATTTGCATTTCTAAATTAGTTTTACAGCCCCTAAATTACATACATTATTTTTTGTGTAATTTGTCTGTTGTGTTTATGTGTAACATTGCTGCGTCTTGTTCAGGACTCCCTTGAAAAAAAGGTTCTTAATCTCAATGGGATTTTTCCTGGTTAAATAAAGGTTAAATAAAAAATTAGAATACACACATAAATGTATATATAAAATAAACACTCACCTTTGGCCCTCCGTGGGCGGTTATCCCTCTCTAAGCTCGGGTCCTCTACCAGAGGCCTGGGAGCTTGAGGGTTCTGCGCAGTATCTTTGCTGTTCCTAGCACTGCACATTTCTGGACCGAGATGTCCGAGGTTGTTCCGGGGATCCGCTGTAAACACTCTTCTAGCTTCGGGGTCACTGCCCCGAGTGCACCATCACCACGGGCACTACTGTCACCTTTACCCTCCAGGCCCTCTCCAGCTCCTCTCTGAGACCTTGGTATTTCTCAAGCTTTTCATGTTCTTTTTTCCGGATGTTACCATCGCTTGGAATTGCCACGTCCACCACCACTGCTGTCCTCTGCCCTTTGTCCACCACCACGGCTGTCCTCTGCCCTTTGTCCACCACCACGGCTGTCCTCTGCCCTTTGTCTACCACCACGGCTGTCCTCTGCCCTTTGTCTACCACCACAATGTCAGGTTGGTTCGCCATTACCAGCAGCTGGATAGCTCAGGTGGTAGGGCGCAGGGCTGGGACCAGTTGGGGCGGGTTTCGGCTCAAAAGTGGCCAAAATGACGTGCGCTGACATGCTTGCAATACCAGCCCAGGCCGATGGGGGTGGACCCAGAAGTAGAATTAGAATGCTAACATTTAGCATTGGTTAACCTCTCGAAAACGTCTTTACAGGATGGTCCAAAAGCTGGCTCTTGGCCCAAAGCTCCGTTCCACATGTGTGTCAATGCTGAGGGGGGTGTTTTGGTCCACTCTGGTTTACTCGCTGTGAATTTTTGAAGCCTCTCGTTCAAATGAATGGAGCTGCGCCGGCTGACGCATGCGCAGATGTGTTTTTTCACGATTTTCTTGTGGGCGGGACCACTCGCGGGCCATTTTGGATTGCTCCAGTAGAGCATATTTTTTGGCCCATTAGTTAGCACGGCGGAGATAGGCATGACTCTCTCCGTTAATATGTACAGTCTATGGCTGGGACCTGGGAGGCCAGGGTTTGCACATTAACACCAACATCCAGTGTGGATCAACCGTCGCCCAGCCAAACAAGGTCTGCGTCAGGTGCCGGGGAACCAGGGCACCTTGATGAAAAGTGGCATGGGCTACTGGAACAAGGCGAAAGTGGGCGAGATGCGATATATTTTTATATATATATATATATATATATATATATATATATATATATATATATATATATATATATATATATATATAATTTTTATTGTTTATTTTTATTAAATAATATTTTTTTTTTTTTTATGTCCTGCCCTCTATTCTCTGAGACAACTGCAGTTGTGATTTAGGGATATAAAAAAATAAATTTAACAAAAAGACAAACCAATCCCATATTTAGTTTAGTTTAGTTTATTTAAGATGACAAGGACAGTGCACAATAAACATTAACCTCAGAAGGAGAGATGCATTGTACCAGGTTATAGCTCAAGAGCTAATTTCCACCTGTAGTCCCTGGGCAGGCTGATGTTATATCACATTAAAAAGTAATGTTATAGAAATCTTACTGGGATTATAAATCAATTTAACTTAAGAATGAATCTAATGATGAAATGGGATAGCTGGGGCTAAGTTTAAAGATTGAAACTAACTAAGCTGTTTTTCCCTAGAGACGCGAGGCCAGTGACGGGGTGGATGCAGATACGAGGTTGATAGAAGAGCACTCTCACCGGTCATAGTGACAATTCTTCTTAATATCAGAGTAATATCAGAGTCTATCAGGGTTGTTGTTATAGCGACGTCAGAAGAGAGGGGGGTTTGGGCCATAGCTGCCATCTAATCTCGGACTCAGAGGCGCCATAGATAGACTCGTTTGTGTATTCCATCCTATAAATGAGAGGGAGAATGGAGCACTGTCAGCAGATCTATCCGGGACCTGCCACGCGGTTGCACGGTTGTATATCCTGTATATGTATACATTTACTGAGATAATAAACCACACTTTGATTTGGACTACAGCTCTTGTTGTTTATTTTATATTTAATATTGTGTATTTCACTCCTTAGAAATTCCACAACAGTAACACACATTCATGGATGTAGTTTACATTTGGCCAAAATACAAGTCTTTACATGCACAATTTGTTTTAAAACTCACATTCATATCACTCATTTATACTGGTCAAACACACACACTCCCCCCCCCCCTCTCTCTCTCTCACACACTCACACAAGCTACACATGAGTGCAAGTTTGGTTTGATAATAACCATTTCTTTAGAAGGCGTGAGAACATGTAGGAATTGGGGCTTGCTATCAGCTCTGTGGGCAGCATGTTCCACTGACGAGTGGTCACACAGGAAAAAGCAGAGTTTCCAAAAGCTGTCCTGCGTTTGAGGATCCTACACTCGCCGCTCGGTGGATCTCGTGGCTCGTGTTGTTATGTCTGAGCCTAAAGAGATGAACTCTTTCAGTGGAGGAGCAGCGGTGTCATGCAGGATCTTATACAGGAAGCAAAGATTTGTGTGTTTAATTAAGTTGTAAAAGCTTAAGATTCTATACACATATATTGGTAAATATGTGTATAGAAATTCTCAATAAATGTCATATTTTGTCCTGTTTAGTATCAACCATGATACTTTTGATAGTATTGATACTCTTCCCAAACAATTTCCCACATTTCTATTTTCTTGTATTTGGTCTTTTCCTAAACGTTTCATGCTCCACTTTTGTCTGTTTCAGATCAATGTCCAGATAAACCCTTTCCTCGGTGATAGTCTGTGATCACCACCAGGGGGCAGTGCAACAAAGGGCTATGTCGCTGCATACGGCATAAGATACAAAGATCTGAGGTTGAAACATGTTCTTTTATGGCAAAGCCAGTTTATTTGTGTAGCACAGTTCACACACGAGGAAACTCAAAGTGTTGAACAAAACAAGAAAAAAAACGTTATAAATTATCACAGTACATTAGAAAAGTTAAGATACAATTCTTTGGTTGTGTGGACAACTAAACAGACACGCTCCTTCCACATGACTCCTTAGTCTGACTCTGGGACCAGCAGCAGATCTCCTCAGAGTCCCAGCAAGAGGCCAGTCCCTGTGCTCCTCAGAGTCCCAGCAGGAGTCCAGTCTGTGTGCTCCTCAGAGTCCCAGCAGGAGGCCAGTCCCTGTGCTCCTGAGAGTCCCAGCAGGAGTCCAGTCCCTGTGCTCCTCAGAGTCCCAGCAGGAGGCCAGTCCCTGTGCTCCTCAGAGTGCCAGCAGGAGGCCAGTCCCTGTGCTCCTCAGAGTGCCAGCAGGAGGCCAGTCCCTGTGCTCCTCAGAGTCCCCGCAGGAGGCCAGTCCCTGTGCTCCTCAGAGTCCCAGCAGGAGTCCAGTCCCTGTGCTCCTCAGAGTCCCAGCAGGAGGCCAGTCCCTGTGCTCCTCAGAGTCCCAGCACCGGTCCTGCACTACCTGGCCGTGGTCCTCGTTCTGTGGCTTTTGTCTTGGATCTACAGGATCCAGGATCCCTCTCACTGTGGATCTAAGGTTTCTCACCTTTTCCCACTGAGTTTCAGAGTTTTTCCTCTGATGCAGGAGTCTGTTGGACAGTTAGTGTCCAACAATAAGGACTGTGAAGATCCAGGACACGTTAACGTTCTACAACATGTATGACATTCATCAACATTCATGGACGTCTCTGCCCCCCTTGGACCAATGGTTCTGTGTTTTTTATAACAGCATTTCTTGTGTTTGAACTGTTTGATTTTCTGTGTTGGGGAATTCAACTGTTGTGTAAAGTCCTCTGAGATAACCACTGTGATAAAAGGCCGATACAAAAATGAATTGAATTGAATGTAGATGTTGTGGTCATGACCCACCAGATCACTGATCACCCTCAAACACACTTTCAATCATTTTTACAAATGACTCTTCCCCACAGCCCCCATTCCAATCAATGCTCTGAGCTCATTGGTGCAAACTCACACAGAAGAGGTTGAATTATTAGCAAGAGTGGATTGATGATGTTATAGATAGATAGATAGATAGATACATAGATACTTCAGGCGTCCAGCAGCAGCATAAACCATTAAGTCTAAAAGTAGACTGTCAAAGGGAAACTGTGCTGTGTAATTATTGTTTAAACAAGTCTTGTATCCAAAGCAAGACTAAAGGGAGACTGATGCATAGTGTGAGAGATGGGAGTATTCTGGGATGTTTTGTGTATGAGGCAAACAGCTTTATGTCAATATGTCTAAACCCTCAGAGTTTTAATCCGACTCTTCAGAGGGAGAGAGTTCAAAGCTTCGTCGGCGTCTCACAGTGTTTGAAGTAAGGTTTTGCAAATTATAAGAAGAATTCCAGAGTTCAGAAGCAACGGGAATTCTCAGTTTTTTGCATAAGTCTGAAGAGAAACAAGCCTTGGAATGAGGAAGCTGGGATAGAGGCGCCACCTGCTGTTTATAGAGAGATACTACAACATTCAATGTAATTCATGGATCCAGGACTGAGGCTGTAGAGCTGTAGATCCAGGACTGAGGCTGTAGATCCAGGACTGAGGCTGTAGATCCAGGACTGAGCTGAGGCTGTAGATCCAAGAGTGAGGCTGTAGATCCAGGACTGAGGCTGTAGATCCAGGACTGAGCTGAGGCTGTAGATCCAAGACTGAGGCTGTAGATCCAGGACTGAGACTGTAGATCCAGGACTGAGGCTGTAGATCCAGGACTGAGGCTGTAGATCCAAGACTGAGGCTGTAGATCCAGGACTGAGGTTGTAGATCCAGGACTGAGACTGTAGATCCAGGACTGAGGCTGTAGATCCAGGACTGAGGCTGTAGATCCAGGACTGAGACTGTAGATCCAGGACTGAGGCTGTAGATCCAGGACTGAGGCTGTAGATCCAGGACTGAGGCTGTAGATCCAGGACTGAGGCTGTAGATCCAGGACTGAGGCTGTAGATCCAGGACTGAGGCTGTAGATCCAGGACTGAGGCTGTAGATCCAGGACTGAGGCTGTAGATCCAGGACTGAGGCTCTAGATCCAGGTCTGAGGCTGTAGATCCAGGACTGAGACTGTAGATCCAGGACTGAGGCTGTAGATCCAGGTCTGAGGCTGTAGATCCAGGTCTGAGACTGTAGATCCAGGACTGAGACTGTAGATCCAGGACTGAGACTGTAGATCCAGGACTGAGACTGTAGATCCAGGACTGAGACTGTAGATCCAGGACTGAGGCTGTAGATCCAGGACTGAGGCTGTAGATCCAGGTCTGAGACTGTAGATCCAGGACTGAGACTGTAGACCCAGGACTGAGACTGTAGATCCAGGACTGAATCTGTAGATCCAGGTCTGAGGCTGTAGATCCAGGTCTGAGACTGTAGATCCAGGACTGAAACTGTAGATCCAGGTCTGAGGCTGTAGATCCAGGTCTGAGACTGTAGATCCAGGACTGAGACTGTAGATCCAGGACTGAGACTGTAGATCCAGGACTGAGGCTGTAGATCCAGGACTGAGACTGTAGATCCAGGACTGAGCTCTCTTCTCAAACTTCTTTTCTTCAGCCACACACACCACAAATGCTCATTAGTTTTCCGTGTTTCCCGCTCTCTCCGGCGGTATCTGTGAAATACGCTGTGTGTTTGTCGATGTGTTTTCAGTCCTGAGGTCTGTCATTGATTGTGTGTTTCGTGAGTCAGTCCAGCTGTAATCTATGGTCCGTCTCCTCATCAGAATCTTGCTCAGGTCTCTGTGTCTGTCTCTGCGTCTGTGAGGAATATAAACTCAGTCTGATCGATACCACACTCCGCAAACACCTCTGTACCACTGCTGCACCTGTTACCTGTGGCTCATTGAGTGACATTTAGGTAAGGCACAGGGGTCTCCAACCTTTTACAATCGAAGAGATACTTTTATGCAAAAGAGAGCTACTCCTTTTGGCAGTCGTAATAACAATCTACATAATAATAAGGGCAAAACATAGATAACACATAAATACACCATAACCCTATATTTATACTTATATAGGTAATATAGATAGGTAATGACTAACAACATATTCATTCAAGATCATTTGATAAATTCTAAATCCTTTGGGGAGCTTCCTGAAAGAGGCTAGCGAGCTACTGGTAGCTCCCGAGCCACAGGTTGGAGACTCCTGGTGTAGCACAAACAATCACAGAAGGCAATCAAATCATAAATACTCACAGTTTGTTAAAATCTACAGTACTCACTCTACTCTACTCACTCTACTCTACTCTACTCTGCTCTGCTCTGCTCTGCTCTGCTCTGCTCTACTCTACTCTAACTGTACTCTAACTGTACTCTAACTCTACTCTAACTCTACTCTACTCTACGCTACGAAATGTTGCCTTTCTAGAATCAATCTGTTTAGCTAGGTTAGTCTTAGGGGTCAGAGGTTAAGGCTAGGCTTCACTTATGGTTAGGGTTGGGACTAGAGGTGCACCGATCAGGATTCTTTTGGCCGATATCGATCATTGCCGATCCGATCAATTATTGAAAATATTAGTGATAAATGAATAGGACTAGTTATTCACTTTGTAACTAATCTTTCAAAACCATCAAAGTACTAGGTAGGATAAATAAAATGCCCTAGGGTACTCAAGACAAAAAGGTTGGGAACCATAAGTACACATAACAGAGCATTGAGATACATAAAAAATGCAATGAATCACATTTCTAAACTGATGAAGAAGAGAAAGTTAAGGCAATGTTTTTTCTTCAGTAATATTAGCATCTCAGCATTAGCAGAGGTTTACTACGTTAATCATCCTGAATAGTCCTGCTGTGCTAAACTCTCACTGTCTGCAGTTGTGCACGGAGCAGAGGAAAGACTGCTTTGGCCAAAGGAGGGAAGCGGCTTTCATTTTCCTTCCAATAAACAAGCGGCTGTCTGCTCCGATGCGAAACTACGTAGTAAGTAACGCTAAATCTGCGACACTGTAGGACTGTCTGTACCAATACACTCATCTTAATCCAACATTTCTGTGAACATAACATGCAAACTCCTGACACGGGGTGTTTCTGCCTGACGGCAGCGCCTCACTGCGGAGTGTGTTCGGTGTGTGTTTGGTGTCTGCGCGGTGTGACTCTGGCTCGTTATAATAATAGATCCATGCTCTGGAGTGTCAATGTGAGGATATACAGTTTGGTAAAGCTGCGACAGGCAGACATCAGTCAGATATCTCTGTGACAGGCAGACATCAGTCAGATATCTCTGTGACAGGCAGACATCAGTTAGATATCTCTGTGACAGGCAGACATCAGTCAGATATCTCTGTGACAGGCAGACATCAGTTAGATATCTCTGTGACAGGCAGACATCAGTTAGATATCTCTGTGACAGGCAGACATCAGTCAGATATCTCTGTGACAGGCAGACATCAGTCAGATATCTCTGTGACAGGCAGACATCAGTCAGATATCTCTGTGACAGGCAGACATCAGTCAGATATCTCTGCGATGGCAGATTGAAGCAGTGGACATGAGCTGTTTGAACCCAGCGCTTTCCGCAACAGACAAGCGCTGGGGGCAGAGGGGAATAAATTCCATAACTTTCGTGTATATTTTGTTTTGTTTCTTAGTCCTTACTGTGCGGTTGTTGCCGCTGTAGAATCTCCGTTACTGATACCTGCATGAGTTGCTTGTTTACGCAATTTTGACGAGAGAAAGTAACTTGTGCGCATGAATCCTCATGTCTGTATGATCGGTCTTTGTGATCGGCACATTTCACCGATCACGCAAAATTAAGCCGTGATCGGCCGATTATTATTGGCTACCGATCGATCGGTGCAACTCTAGTTAGGACCATAAACCATAAGCTAGGAGTATACTGGCCAAGCTAATGTCACCATAGCATTAGTCTTAATGCCAAAGAGGCTGATTTCAACAAAAACAAGCTGGAGCCAATTTATTTATATGGCCGTTTTTTCATACGCCATCCCAGAGGCAGACCTTATCAAGACAGTTGATAAGGTCAACCCTTATATGGCTCAAAGCTGGATTTACAAAGACAATATCACAATATAGACACCAGGAACATAGAGCGCAATAAACAACAGACTTTTAATCCCAAAGTTACTGAGTTAGAGGAGTTTTTACTTTGACATGTGAGTCGATAGTAGCCAGAGAGAGCCGGATGTCGTGGAGCTAGCATGTTAGCATCCTCCATGTTTGTACAGTCTACGCTGCAAACACTTGATTGATTTGAAGTGATTGGATTTCTATGAGCAGCTGCTGATCCGCCGCTGTGATCTATGGGATATTTAGCATATCTGAATCAAACATGTCTCTCCTCACGCGGCTTCTGAATCACATAAAGGTCACGGCTATGAAAACCGTATGGATCTGCTCCGCGGCTAACAATGCGCCACACAATTAAAGAGGGATTCATCATTAGGTGTTCAGGCTGAAAGGGACGCGAACAAAGACAATCTCAAGTCATTTCTGCAGCAGTTTAGAGCAATCAAAACCGATCAACAACAGAAATAAAATCAAAATACACCATTGTTTATTCTCATTAGCATCAGGTGTCACAGAAAAACCAATTGATATGTATTCTTAGAACTCTCCGTGGATAATTGTGAATAGACAGAGACTCTATGAGAGATTTGTGGAAGTCGTAGCCCCACCAAGAATCCATAAATGTTGATAATATATTGATAAACATGCGATATATATGATAGTATTGTGTGTTTGTTTGTATTTTTGTTGTCTGTTTTTGTGTTGTATGGACTCTGTGTGTGTAAGACTTAAATATCTAAATACTAAATTTAAAAATTCAATTCAAATACATCGGTTGTGTGTTCTTAGAGGACTTTACAAAGTAGTCAATTTGCGAATTCTCAGCTCAGAGAATCAAACACTCAGCCCGATCCGGTCCAGTCTGCAAATAAAGTGAGGTCCATCATTTAAGTCATGGGATGTTCCGATTCTGGAAGATTTAAAATTTGTTTTTGTATTTTCTCTGTCATTCTCCTGTTTTGCAACATTTTCTTGAAATTGTTTTTCCCTTTGAATTAAAATAAAAAAATATGAGAATCTGGATGACCGAATTCCACGAAGTTTGAATTCCACCGTGTCCTTTGGAAGTGCAGGATCTGGAACACTAGGGGGCAGTGTTCTTACATACGGACCACTTCCAGATTTCCCGGATTTCCAGAAAGCCCGCCTCCTGTTGGGCCCAGAGTCAGGACTAAACATGGGGAGACAGCGTTCACATTTTTTGCGGCTAAAATCTTCCTTTAAAATGTGAGACAGGCTTCTTCTCCGATAATGTTCCACTCCAGGTTAAAAACAAATCTGTTTAGCCGTGTATAAAACTGAAGGATTGTATCGTCACTGAATGTACTGTATTTATTTATGGTTTTAATCCATCCATCTTTTGTATTTTTTTCTGGCTTGTTTAGTTTAGCACTTTCAGTTCCCCTGTGTATAAACTGTGCTATACAACTAAACTTGTCTGTATTTAACGAGGGAACAACGTTTTTTTTTCTTGATTGAAAGTATAAAAAGGCCCGTCCTCCCACTGACCATAAACAAAACCATATTTGTATTTCATTCTGTCCTTTAAAGTTTGACATTTTGCATCAGGCTGGAGATAAAAAGTGTGTGTGTGTGTGTGTGTGTGTGTGTGTGTGTGTGTGTGTGTGTGCATGTGTGTGTGTGTGTGTGTGTGTGTGTAGGGCACAGTCTTGTATATGTGTGTGTGTGTGTGTGTGTGTGTGTGTGTGTGTGTGTGTGTGTGTGGGGCACAGTCTTGTATATATGTGTATGTGTGTATGTGTGAGTGTATAGGTCACAGTCTTGTATATATGTGTGTAGGTCATAGTCTTGTGTATGTGTATGTATGTGTGTGTGTGTGTTTGTGTGTTTGTGGGTCACAGTCTTGTATATATGTGTATGTGTGTATGTGTGAGTGTATAGGTCACAGTCTTGTATATATGTGTGTAGGTCATAGTCTTGTGTATGTATGTGTGTGTGTGTGTGTGTGTTTGTGGGTCACAGTCTTGTGTATGTTTGTATGTGTCTCTGTGTGTCTGTGTGTCTGTGTGTCTGTGTCTCTGTGTGTCTGTGTGTCTGTGTCTCTGTGTGTCTGTGTCTCTGTGTGTCTGTGTCTCTGTGTGTCTGTGTGTCTGTGTCTCTGTGTGTCTGTGTCTCTGTGTCTCTGTGTGTCTGTGTCTCTCTGTGTCTCTGTCTCTCTGTGTGTCTGTGTGTCTGTGTCTCTCTGTGTCTCTGTGTGTCTGTGTCTCTGTGTGTCTGTGTGTCTCTGTGTGTCTGTGTGTCTCTGTGTCTCTGTGTGTCTGTGTCTCTGTGTGTCTGTGTCTCTGTGTCTCTGTGTGTCTGTGTCTCTGTGTCTCTGTGTGTCTGTGTCTCTGTGTGTCTGTGGCTCTGTGTGTCTGTGCTCTGTGTGTCTGTGTCTCTGTGTCTGTGTCTCTGTGTGTCTGTGTCTCTGTGTGTCTGTGTGTGTGTGTCTCTGTGTCTCTGTGTCTCTGTGTCTCTGTGTCTCTGTGTGTCTGTGTCTCTGTGTGTCTGTGTGTCTGGATGACATCCCCTACCACATCCCCCTACCACAAAAAATATGTGCAATAGGTCTGGCATGTGCCTCCTGTACTGGCACCCCCACTCCCAAAAATCACAATTGTAAACCGCTTTGAGACTCCGATGTGCAGTGAAAAGGCGGTATATAAATAAAGATTACTTACTTACTTACTTGTAGGTCCTGATATCTCACTCAGACCTGATGTGTGTGTTGTAGGTCCTAATATATCACTCAGACCTGATGTGTGTGTTGTAGGTCCTAATATCTCACTCAGACCTGATGTGTGTGTTGTAGGTCCTAATATCTCACTCAGACCTGAGGTCTGTATGTATACTGAGACAGGTCTGTATGTATACTGAGACAGGTCTGTATGTATACTGAGACAGGTCTGTATGTATACTGAGACAGAAGTCTGTATGTATACTGAGACAGAAGTCTGTATGTATACTGAGACAGGTCTGTATGTATACTGAGACAGGTCTGTATGTATACTGAGACAGAGGTCTGTATGTATACTGAGACAGAGGTCTGTATGTATACTGAGACAGAAGTCTGTATGTATACTGAGACAGAAGTCTGTATGTATACTGAGACAGAGGTCTGTATGTATACTGAGACAGAGGTCTGTATGTATACTGAGACAGAGGTCTGTATGTATACTGAGACAGAAGTCTGTATGTATACTGAGACAGGTCTGTATGTATACTGAGACAGAGTCTTGTTGTGTTGTAGAAATTCTTTATAATCATGAAGATTTGCTGATTTCCTCCAGAACCAGTGAGACTGATGTGTTTTGTTTGTTACAGAGTCTTCAAAAGGAGAAAAGGTCTAAAAAAGACTGGAAATCAGCCGGAACCATTAGAGGAACAGCCTTCAACGGTGGAGACTGGCTGTTCCTGGGAAGCCCCTCCCCCGACACCCAGGAAGCCTCTCTTCCCATTTTTGATCATTCCCATTTTGATTGTGGCCCTGGTGTTATTCCAGACGTTCGCTCCTCCACATTTGGGTAAGAGATTCGGCCACAGCTATCTAAGAATGTAATTAAACTTAAAGATTGTAACCCATATATCATTTCAGTGTTTTGGCGCGAGGGAGCACAGTATATAACTGCCATAAAGACGGACAGCATGGAAAACCACGCCACCCACTCCAAGCGTAAGTAACGACCCAGGACTTCAATAAGAGAACTACCAGCTACAAACTTACAAGGAATATTCTCCTTTGTTTCAATATTAGTCCAAAACAAAACAGAACAAACAAAACTTCTTGACAACCACCATTTCTCAAAGTAGCCAACTACAAAAGACAAATGAGTGTAAATAGTTGATAACATTATTACCCATTGATACATACATTTTTAAACTGATTATTTCACTGTTTTGAAAGACCAAAAGTAATGTGTAATATGTCTTTGCTTGTGTTTGTCTGCAGAGGCCACAGTGCTCCGGTCATACTCCACGAGCACCTACTGTCGGGAGGGCTTTGTGGAGTGGATGTGGGGATGGCTGGCCCGTAAACACCAGTTGGTGCTGCATTCACACTCCCGTCTACAAATGGGTCAGTGCTGGCCCTTCGAAGGAGACAAGGGCCAGCTCCATGTGCAACTGGCTCAGAGGATCCACATCTCCCACATCACTCTGGGACACATCACACCGATGCAGTCACCCTTTGGAGAAACAACCACTGCACCCAAGAACTTCTCCGTCTATGTGAGTCATTCATTCATTTTCTCCCACTTTACCTGATGCCGAGTCGCAGAGGCAACCGTCTAAGCAGAGAGGCTCAGACTTCCCTTTCCACACACACGTCCTCGAGCTCATCCGGGTTTGAGGGATCAAAATAATCACAGCCCCATTGTCATCTTTAGAAACAAATGTTTTTGTCACAAAGAGGTGCTTGAACACTTTACTGATTATCTTTATAATTCAGTAGTTGAATTAGCATTTATCACAGCTGAGGCAGGAGAAGGTTTGGCACTGATGTTTCATTTATTGAGTAGAAATGTTTGAGCTACCCTAGTTTAGAGTGTTTGCTTGTTCAGTTGATTAGTTATAGTTGATACTGTATTTGAAGTGAAAGAAACTGCCTTCCTGTCCAATCAGGTCCTCACAATGACTTAACCACATATGTGCTTCCTCTGTTTCAGGGAATGAAGACTCCTGATGGAGAAGAAAAACTTCTTGGAAGGTTTTTCTATGACAATCAGGGCTCATCCTTCCAAACGTTCGTTCTCCCAGAGCAGAGCTCAGAGGGGTTTGCCCATGTGCGCCTGAAGGTGGAGACCAACTGGGGGAACACAGAGTACACCTGTGTGTATAACTTCAGGGTGCATGGGACCCCCTCAGAGTAACGGCCCTTCAGGGTCGTTACAATCAGGTAAGTAGAGGTAGGTTTATTATTTTCATGGATTATCTCAACCTCCCCCCACGAGCTCAGGCTCCTCCCCCACGAACGAGCTCAGGCTCCTCCCCCACGAACTCAGGCTCCTCCCCCAGTGAGGTGACATGCCACATCCCAACAGCCATATGTTTTGTTGCTGATACTGCTGCTAGTGCAGCTGCTGCTGCTACTGCTGATGCTACTGCTGATGCTACTGCTGATGCTACTGCTGATGCTACTGCTGATGCTACTGCTGATGCTACTGCTATTGCTGATGCTGCTGCTGTTGTTGTTACTGATGCTGATGTAACTGATGCGACTGTTGTTACCAGAGCCAGGTTTGAGCCACAGTCCTCTCTGACAGAAGAACGGTCCACATCGAGGTCCGTTCTAACCTCTGTCCACAGCAGGGATCTACAGAAGGGGTCCACAGCAGGGGTCTACAGGAGGGGTCCACAGCAGGGGTCTACAGGAGGGGTCCACAGCAGGGATCTACAGGAGGGGTCCACAGCAGGGATCTACAGAAGGGGTCCACAGCAGGGATCTACAGGAGGGGTCCACAGCAGGGGTCTACAGGAGGGGTCCACAGCAGGGGTCTACAGGAGGGGTCCACAGCAGGGGTCTACAGCAGGGGTCCCCAACAGGCCGTGGCAGAGGCGCCCTCCTGTGGCCAGGTTCTGCCAGAGGTTTCTTCCTAAAAGGGAGTTTTTCCTCTCCACTGTTGCTCAGGAGGGAATATTTGGAGACCCCCCATGGATTAAAGTAGGAACACTACTTTAGTAATAGATATTTTGACTAATCCATTCAATTCAAATAAAATACAATTGGACAATTTGTTGTCAATGTAATAATTTAGTCACTCCATATGCATTCAAAGCTCATATTTCTTGTCCTCCATCTTTACAATAACGACCTCACACACTTCCTCTGCACCACTGAGGATTTAACTTTACAGCTTCAATACCCTCAAAGGCACAATGTATTATGGGTAATGTGCAAATATTGAATACAAGGAAACTTGTATCGCTAATGCCGCTATACAAGTTGACCAAGCCCCGTGATCCAAGATGGCGTTCTATTCAAATGACATACACAGGGCCGAGAGATTAGAGGAACTCGCCCATATTTGGGCATCATCTGGTCCTGCCGGCCTGCGCAGTCGACAAGCTCCCATGATGCTTTGCACCAATTACGCATGTGTGCCTCTCAAGCACGTGGACAGAGGGGCTCGGCCACACTCTGACCAATCAGACGGCAGCGTTAGAGCGGGAGTCAGACAAGCAGAGTTTGTGGCACTAAAGTGTGGATTTAAAGAAAACTGAAGGATTTAAGAAGAAAAAAGTTCAGGACGACAAGGGACACTAACATCCCCACAAAATCTGACCTTTATGAAAGCTGCAGGTTCTCTGTCAGGTTCTCTGTCAGGTTCTCTGTCAGGTTCTCCGTCAGGTTCTCTGTCAGGTTCTCTGTCAGGTTCTCTGTCAGGTTCTCTGTCAGGTTCTCTGTCAGGTTCTCCGTCAGGTTCTCTGTCAGGTTCTCTGTCAGCTGAGGTTGAGCCGTTTAGTTTACATCGAGTTCTATGGACATTTTTCTGGGTAACTGGGTAATCTAGTCTGCAGTACCATGGCGCCCCCTGTGGCCAAACATAAGCTAGTAAAACACTATCCAGACATTATTAAAGATCCATGAACATGACTGACATAAACTAAAAGTCGTTAACAACAATTGAACAGGCTGCAAGCTGGAACTACATTGTTTTCCGTTGTTGTGTAGACGCTCTGCACTTTGCAGCGTCTCCTTCTTAACGGGGCCTGGTTTTGGTCCAGGAGCGATCAGTCTGTTTGGTGTCTTGATGACATATGTGCAGGTTTACATACATGTGTTTACCTAAAGTCTTTGTGATGATACCTGTCATTTTACTGGACAAGGTTTTGGCTGGTCAAACAGTGAGTGAATTTGTTTTATTGAGTACAAACTGAAGCGTAACTAAACATATCCGTGTCCATATTCAAAAGCCCCAAGCTCACTTTGAGGCTTTGAGGGTCAAAAAGGTAAAATATCCCAGCTTTAAACGGTTTAAACATAGATAAATGATTCAGTCGTATTTTAACCGTGACCTCAGAGTCGGCTTCGGTGCGTTCATGTTTGAGTAATCACATTATTCTACATTAAAGGTTGTGCGCTCAGAAAAAGTCTGTCAATAGGTCTGAGGTTGTGAGGTTTGTACAAGGATAGATAAGAAATTATTACTTGATCAATGTTGCAGGATTATTAAAATACAATTCATGGTTTTATAACAATAACGACTGAAATCTGAGGTTCTTACAAAACATAATCAACGGTACAAGAGTATTTTAAAACACTAATTTGACTCAGAATTTACACATATCTGTAACTAAAACATAAATAAAAAGTCAAATTTATAAAATCTCGATTAAGAACCGCGCGACAAAAGGAGCGAGTACCAAACTCGAGGACCGGGCTTTGGGCTGATGACCATATAATAACCTCGGACACGGGCCGGGCTCGGGCCCTTCATTTTCAGAGCGGCAGATTACATTTACAAACGCACCCACTGAATATAGCGTTCTATCAAGCTGTAGTGTTTGTTGTTCTGAATAGTATTGTCATTGACAACACATAGCGTTACCTTCACGTGCGTGGTTTTCCATTGCGGCATCTGTGAATCATACAGCTGTGTATCATACAGCTGTGTATCATACAGCTGTGTATCAAACAGCTGTGTATCATACAGCTGTGTATCATACAGCTGTGTATCAAACAGCTGTGTATCAAACAGCTGTGTATCATACAGCTGTGTATCATACAGCTGTGTATCATACAGCTGTGTATCATACAGCTGTGTATCATACAGCTGTGTATCATACAGCTGTGTATCATACAGCTGTGTATCATACAGCTGTGTATCATACAGCTGCGCCCGTTCACTCCGTACACACAGAACTCATTACAACACATCACTACCATGTATAACTCCGCCCTCTAGCCGGGCCTGTGTTCATATCAGAGCGTGTGGCTATATACAGTACCTTCCGAAAGTATTCGGCCCCCTTGAACCTTTCGCCACATTTCAGGCTTCAAACATAAAGATATAAAATTTAAATTTTTTGTCATGAATCAACAACAAGTGGGACACAATCGTGAAGTGGAACGAAATTTCTTGGATAATAAAAAAAAATTTAACAAATAAAAAACTGAAAAGTGGGGCGTGCAATATTATTCGGCCCCCTTGCACTAATACTTTGTAGCGCCACCTTTTGCTGCAATTACAGCTGCAAGTCGCTTGGGGTTTGTCTCTATCAGTTTTGCACATCGAGAGACTGGAATTCTTTCCCATTCTTCCTTGCAAAACAGCTGGAGCTCAGTGAGGTTGGATGGAGAGCGTTTGTGAACAGCAGTCTTCAGCTCTTTCCACAGATTCTCGATTGGATTCAGGTCTGGACTTTGACTTGGCCATTCTAACACCTGGATACGTCTATTTGTGAACCATTCCATTGTAGATTTGGCTTTATGTTTTGGATCATTGTCCTGTTGGAAGATAAATCTCCGTCCCAGTCTCAGGTCTTTTGCAGACTCCAACAGGTTTTCTTCCAGAATGGTCCTGTATTTGGCTCCATCCATCTTCCCATCAATTTTAGCCATCTTCCCTGTCCCTGCTGAAGAAAAGCAGGCCCAAAGCATGATGCTGCCACCACCATGTTTGACAGTGGGGATGGTGTGTTCAGGGTGATGAGCTGTGTTGCTTTTACGCCAAACATATCGTTTTGCATTGTGGCCAAAAAGTTCATCTGACCACAGCACCTTCTTCCACATGTTTGGTGTGTCTCCCAGGTGGCTTGTGGCAAACTTTAAACCAGACTTTTTATGGCTATCTTTGAGAAATGGCTTTCTTCTCGCCACTCTTCCATAAAGGCCAGATTTGTGCAGTGCACGACTGATTGTTGTCCTATGGACAGACTCTCCCACCTCAGCTGTAGTTATCTGCAGTTCATCCAGAGTGATCATGGGCCTCTTGGCTGCATCTCTGATCAGTCTTCTCCTTGTTTGAGATGAAAGTTTGGAGGGACGGCCGGGTCTTGGTAGATTTGCAGTGGTTTGATACTCCTTCCATTTCAATATAATTGCTTGCACAGTGCTCCTTGAGATGTTTAAAGCTTGGGAAATCTTTTTGTATCCAAATCCGGCTTTAAACTTGTCCACAACAGTATCTCGGACCTGCCTGGTGTGTTCCTTTGTCTTCATGGTTCTCTCTGCGCTTTAAACAGAACCCTGAGACTATCAAAGAGCAGGTGCATTTATACGGAGACTTGATTACACACAGGTGCATTCTATTTATCATCATCAGTCATTTAGGACAACATTGGATCATTCAAAGATCCTCACTGAACTTCTGGACTGAGTTTGCTGCACTGAAAGTAAAGGGGCCCAATAATATTGCACGCCCCACTTTTCAGTTTTTTATTTGTTAAAAAAGTTTAAATTATCCAACAAATTTCATTCGACTTCACGATTGTGTCCCACTTGTTGTTGATTCATGACAAAAAATTAAAATGTTATATCTTTATGTTTGAAGCCTGAAATGTGGCGAAATGTTGAAAGGTTCAAGGGGGCCGAATACTTTCGCAAGGCACTGTACTACGCTAAAAGCCGCGTTCAGATTGCAAACGCTCAAGCGCTGAAGCCCCGCTCACCAGACGCACATTCTCTACTTTTCAGACGCAGGGGTCTTCACACCAGAACGTCCTGACCAGCGCTGGAAGTGCCGGAAGTAGCCGGCCAGCTCTGATGCTAACAGAGTTATGCTAGCTGCTTCTCGTGTAAAGATCTTCTCCAATATGCAGCTTTGCAGCGTGTCTGTGTTCAGAGCCCTTCCACGGACTTTATATCTAACAGTAGTATGTGTTCACGGAGGTGTGCAATAAGTTTATTTTATTATTAAACGGTGCTTCCGCATCGGCGAACACACTCGAAGCAGTTGCATAAAGTCACAGATTCAGATTAATTTATTTGCCATTTGCAGTAAAACCACATTGGAAAAACTGTGCAAGACTACCCTAGTGTGCACCAGACAGAGAAGACGGCACACACCAGAGCTCTTGCCACGGGAGCATGACAACGCATATATATCACTCGTAGATGTGAGCATGTTACACCAGTTTTAAAATCTCTGGGTTTGAGAATCTCAATCTCAAATCATCATCGAGTCCATCCTCACCTCCTCCATCACCTCCTCCATCACCTCCTCCATCACCTCCTCCATCACCTCCTCCATCACCTCCTCCATCACCTCCTCCATCACCGTGTGGTTCGCTGGAGCCACAGTCAGGGACAAACAGAGACTACAGTGCATTGTGCGCTCTGCAGAGGAAGTGATCGGCCGCAGCCTTCCATCGCTGCAGGACCTGTACGTCGCCCGAGCTCGAGGCCGGGCTGGTCGTATCACAGCCGACCCCTCTCACCTGCACATGGACTATTCCAACCACTCCCCTCTCACCTGCACATGGACTATTCCAACCACTCCCCTCTCACCTGCACATGGACTATTCCAACCACTCCCCTCAGGCAGGAGGCTGCGGTCCATCAGGACTAGAACCTCCCGCCACTAGAACAGTTTCTTCCCCTCTGCTGTTGGACTCTTGAACACTTCTTAACCTGTCCCCCCGCCCTTTATAAAGTCACTTTACTGCCCATCATACGTCACTTTACTTCACTGTACTGCTGTCACCTTACATTGTGTGCACCATGTGCACTTGTATATTGTAAATAGTAACGGTAACTCTATTTTAAATTTTATTTTATTCTTTAGAAGTGTTTTTTATTCTTATTTTTATTATCTCTTTTTTACTGTTGCACTGAGCCAAAGCAATTTCCAAGTCTGTGACCTCCTGTTACTTACGTGGCAATAAAAATGATTCTGATTCTGATCTGATTGGTGTTAGGTTTGTGTTGTTGTGTTGTCAGACTGTGGTTTGGTGTGTAAGGAGGGGGGAGTTCCTGTTGCGATGGGAGGCCGCTGTAGCCTCCTACTCCATCGCTGTGACGGACACGCGACTGTGGAGACCTGAGCGCGAGAGGGGGTGAGGTCACCCCATGAGAGGGATGAGTTACTATCATGAGAGGGGGATGAGAGGTGAGTCACTACCATGAGAAGGGGGATAGGGGTTGAGTCACTACCATGAGAAGGTGGGCATAGGGGGTGAGTCACTACCATGAGAGGGGGATAGGGGGTGAAGTCACTGATCATGAGAAGGGGGATAGGGGGTGAGTCATACCATGAGAAGGGGTATGGGGGTGAGTCGACTACCATGAGAAGGGGGATAGGGGTGAGTCATTCCTATGAGACAGGGGGATAGGGGGTGGAGTCAACTATTCATGAGTAGGGGGATAGGGGGTGTTCACTTTCATGAGAAGGGGGAAGAGTGGTGAGTCACTCCATGAGAAGGGGGATAGGGGGTGAGTCACTATCTGAGAAGGGGGATAGGGGGTGGAGTTCACTTACCAAGAGATGGGGGATAGGGGGTGAGTCACTACCATTTGAGAAGGGGGAGAGGGGGTGGAGTCACTACCATGAGATGGGGTGATCGGGGGTGAGTCACTACCATGAGGAAGGGGGGATAGGGGGTGAGTCACTATCATGAGAAGGGGGATAGGGTGATGTCACTATAATGAGATGGGGGATAGGGGGTGAGTCACTACCATGAGCAAGGGGGTGAGGGGGGTGAGACTCCCATGGAGAAGGGGGGATAGGGTGTGAGTCCACTACATGAGAAGGGGGGCCATCCGTAGGGGGTGATGGTCACTACCATGAGAAGGGGGATAGGGGTGTGTGTCACTACCATGAGAAAGGGGGATAGGGGGTGAGTCACTACCATGAGAAGGGGAGAGAGGGGGTGAAGTCACTACCTTGAGTGGGGGATAGGGGGTGAAGTCATATCATGTGAAGTGGGAATAGGGGGTGACGTCACTATCATGAGAGGGGGAGAGGGGGTGAGTCACTACATGCGAAGGGGATAGGGGGTGACGTCACTACCATGAGAAGGGGGAGAAGGGCCGTGAGTCACTACCATGTGATGGGGGAGTAGGGGGGTGTAGTCATTTCATGAGATGGGGGAGAGGGGGTGAGTCACTATCATGAGTGGGGGCGAGGGGGTGTGAGTCACTTTCATGAGATGGGGGACCAGGGTACTTACAAGGTAAAAAACGCACTAGCAGGGGGTGGTTGCGTCACTATCATGAGATGAGGGATTAGGGGTGAGGCCACTACCATGAGAAGGGGGTTGGGGGTGAGCCACTATTCTGTGGTGGGGGAAGAGAGGGTGAGTCACTACATGAGAAGCGGGGACGAGGGGGGCGGGGTCACTTACAAGAAGAGGGTGTGTTGCTCCTCAGCTGATGCCATGGCGTTGTGCTGCAGGTGTGTGTGTTCCTCTGGCGAGACAGTTCCAGTGTCCTGGGAGACCAGTGTGTCCCCGCAGATTGCGAGAGGATCGCCTCGACTCCTGACGAGTGGGGTGATGGACGGGAGCTGTTCCAATGGGGTGGTACGGACGAAGCGTCTGCTCCAGGACAGGTAAATAGTCTTACTGTCTGCTCTACCTGTGTCAACTATGCAGCTCCTTAGCATGTTAGCATGTTAGCATGGACCTTTACAGTCATATGTCTGTACAAACACAGTTGTACAAACAAAGATGTATGCCTGTTAAAACACAAGTTGTTAGCCTATACAAACACAGACGTTTACAAACACAGTTGTACGCCTGTACCAACACAGTCGTTTAAAACACAGTTGTACGCCTGTACAAACACCCAGACGTGTACAACACAGTCGTAGCCTTGTACAAACACAGCCTCTTCTATCTCGCAGTGACCTGTGCCTCCTGGACAGTTTGTCTGCCAGACGGATCCTGTATTCTCTCTGTTCGAGTTTGTTGATCGGGGACAGCGGACTGTCCCAGGGCAGAGGCACGAGGCGACCTGTTCAACTGTCCGCCTGACCTCAGCCCGCCCTCTTTCCAACATTGTGAGACCTTAGCCCACTCCTCTGCAGCTGTGTCTAGGACCTCTGCAGCTGTGGCTCAATATCACAATAACCAACATCAGTTTTCAGTGTTCCTGTGTGTCCTAGACTGCAGGGCTACGAGTTCCCCTGAGTTGGGAGGGGGGCAGTGTGCTGCACCCAGGCCGGGGGCCTGGCGCTCGCGATGGGCAGACAGACTGTGTGGACGTCTAAGTGCTAGTGGTCGAGCTGAGCTGAACCACTCCGTGTGGCCCCGGCATCTGCCCTGTGAGAGCAGAGGACCAGTGTTTACCCCACAGGCATGCTGTGTGACGGGACCCCCAACTGCCAGGGACGCCTCCGACGGAGCATCGACAACTGTGGTGCGTGGAGCTTAGAACTCAATGGTTTATATTTGACCTTAGCTGCAGATGTACCTGTTGCTGTAGCATGCACCTGTGTACTCTGGCTGTGTACTTACAGTGCATGTGTATCTACTGTGCCTGTGTACTACTGTGCCTGTGTATACTGTACCTGTTTACTACTGTACCTGTGTCCCCAGGTTCGACGGTCACTCCTCCGTGTCGCGGAGCTTCTCCTGTGGTCAGTTGGACCTGTGTGAACATTGACGCAGGTTTGTGACGGGGTCGGGACTGTCCCCACGGGACGATGAATTGGTGTGTGGTGTGTTTTACTTACACAACCCCCTGTAGTGCACACACTGAAGGACACACACAGAAAGGAGACTGTATTTTACTCACATCTGGTCCTTTTACGATAAAACAGTACCAGAAACAGCCGAACCAGAAGTCCGAGACCGAACCAAACGTGTCCAGAGTTTCACCTGCTCTAATGGCTCCTGTGTCCCCCTCATTGTGGTGAGAGTGTCTGTGTGTTAGGTGGTGACTGTGTTGTGTGTTGTGTTTGGTGTGTGTGTGTGTGTGTGCGTTTGTGTGTGTGTGTGTATTGCCAGAAGCTGCAGGTGTGACCTGTGACCTCGTTCTCCGGTGTTGTAATGGAGTGGCAGACGTCCGGCTGCTCCCACACCACCAGCTGATGAAGAAGCCTGTAGAAGTGGGGGCCCCTGGGGGCCGTGGATCACCTGCAGATGTGTTCCTGTGGCTCAGGCTCCATGAGGATGGCAGCGCTCCGTCCTTCTGGGGACTGCTGTCGAGGTGCAGGGGCCAGAGTTCCAGAGACAGCAGTGTTTCAACACAGCTGTCCAAGGTTACTGCGCCTCAGTGTTGTTTATCACCGAGAAGGTTTCTGGGGTGTACGATGCTTAAACGCTGATGAAAAACTATAGGGTCAGGGCTATCGCTAGGGTCAGGGTCTAAACGCTGTAGGGTTCAGGATTAGGCTTTGGGAAGGGGTAGGCTAGGGCGTCCAGGATTAGGGTCAGAGTCTTGTGCTACAGCTGAAGAATCACGTTGTGACTAGTGCATGTTATGTGGATATTATGTATTTACAGGAACTGTAATTTTATTGATATAAATAGGTGTTAGTTAGCTAGTACCTGCTCACCCTACTCTCTTCTCTCTCCAGTGGATGGCAGGTGGTTGCGTGTGGGCACCTGGTCCAACTGCTCCGGTGGTTTGTGGTGGGGTGAAGGTGCGACGCACGAGGGCTGCGCCCCCCATTCAGTGGAGAGCAGAGTCTGTCCCCAGCTGCGGGCTCCGTCCCCCTCGTATACGGAAATCAGTATGTACCAATGACTGTACCTGGGACCAGTTAACCATGACCTGGGACCAGTTTAACACTGACCCCCGTCTCTCCAGCGCGTGCCCCGGAGAGGCCTGCTCAACAGCAGCTGCCCCGAAGGCCTAGTCAGACACCAGCTGTGCGACCTGCCCCTTGACCGAACCCATGTCAGGTGGGGAGTCCTGTGAAGCCCCCCGTCTGCCACCTGTTTCTCTGGTGAGTGTTGGTCTAGGTTAGCTCTCCGGTGTTCCTCACCCTCACCTGTCCCTTACCTGTCCCGCCACCCTGTCCCTCCCCCTCAGGCTGGTGAGTGTCCGGAGGGCGGGTCTTGAGCCACACCCTGCAGTTGCGTCCGGCCAGAGGAGTGTGAGTGCGAGGAGGCTGGCGAGCTCTACCGCCCCGGGCCAGACATTAAGAGGAGTTTTGAACTGTGTGTGTGTGAGAGAGGCCGAGTCCAGAGCTGCTGAGCCCAATCCCCAACTGCATAGTGCAGTACCACCCAACTGCACCTGTGAGTACCACCCAACTGCACCGGTGATTACCACCAACTGCACTGTAAGTACCACCCAACTGCCACTGTAAGTACCACCCAACTGCACCTGTAAGTACCACCCAAACTGCACCTGTAAGTACCACCCAACTGCTACCTGCAAGTACAACCAATGCACTGCAAGTAGAACCCAAACTGCACCTGTAAGTACCACCCAAACTGCACGCTGCAAGTACCACCCAACTGCACCTGCAAGTACAACCCAACTGCACCTGTAAGTACCACCCAACTGCCACTGTAAGTACCACCCAACTGACCTGTTAAGTACCACCCAACTGCACTGCAGAGTACACCCAACTGCACCTGCAAGTACACAACTGCACCTTGTATTTACCACCCAACTGCACCTGTAAGTACCACCCAACTGCACCTCCTTGTTAAATGTTTTTTTTTTTATTTGTTTTTTAAACCACACAATCTGCACACTGCAAGTACAACCAACTTGACACCTGTAAGTACCACCCAACTGCACCTGTAAAAGTACCACCCAACTGCACCTGTATAGTTACCACCCACTGCACTGTAAGTTCTAAGGGTTTAATTTTTTTTTCCCGATATGAGACGTATCATATCACGGGAAAAGACGGACGCCTTTCCGGAAATCCGGAAATAGCTGTTGTTTGTTGTTGTTGTATTTAGCCTGTAATCGTGTGATTATACTCAAACATATAATCCAACAAAAGCTGCATCTCCACTAGTGTTTCACCAAGTGGACTTGCTAGCTTTTATAAGTAGCCATATCGTTTCAGACGTTTTGTTGATGGGCTTTCGTCAGGAATTTCAATATTATGTGATTCTAATGTGGTGTCTGCGCAATCACTTGTCGAAAAGTGACGTGCGTTGGTTGGATGGGCACTGACTTCAGCCCTATCAGATGAACAGTATATCATATAATAACAGAACCTACAGAGCGGCTTTTGTTTACAATTAGTTTGGTTACAGCAGAATGTTTCCATGGCCCGCATTGTTTGCTCAAACAAAACGCAAAAGTTTGTAAAAGGCACATTTCCAATTGGCATTCGTGTTATGGGTCTTACTTAGTTACTTAATGAACAGACAGACACTTCAGTTCGCCGAGTTCTTGTTTTTAAGTCCATATATTAGTTTCTGAGCGCCAGATATGTAATCCCCCATTTGGAAATAACCTAAGAGTTTAAAGCGTTTATTAAAACAAAACGGGGTGCCACCTCATAAACTCCTCGTGTGTTCGCTGGCAGCCGCTCTCGGGGCATCCAATTTATAAATATCAACCTTCTTACCCTTCTCCTCTCTCTTCTTATCATCCGTATCGTCATTGTTAAGCAGAACATTCACCCTAAATGCATTTTATATGATTTTTAAAATGCTGTTATATTATGTTAGCCAAACCTGTTTGCTGCCCTTAGCAGATGGAAAAAAAGAAAGGAGCTTTCTGATAGAATTGGGTAACAAAATTTCTGGGCCTCACTTGTGCCCCGTACCGAGCCTGGCCTCATTCAAGTGCTGTGGGTTCTAGCGCGATTAAGACCATTCTATTTGTTCAAAAACACAATTTAGGAGCCTTCCTCTCAGCTGTAGACATGTGATTGTAATGAAAATTTGTTTGAACTTTGAACAACGATAAACGTGCTTTATAATAGCGAGCGCAACTGTGATTTTTTTTTTAAACTTTCATTTCCCCAGTTCCCGTCATAACATTTCCGGCGATTCGGGAAAGAGTGTTCATCAGATTTTTCCGGGTTTAGCCCTGTATCCGGGATTAAACCCTTAGTCAAGTACACCCCTAACTGCACTGCAAGTACCACCCAACTGCACTGCAAGTACCTACACAACTGACACTGTAAGTACCACCCAAAACTGAACCTGTAAGTTACACCCAACTGCACCTGTATGTACCCACCAACTGCACTGTAAAGTACCACCCAGCTGAACACTGTAATTACCACCCAACTGCACCTGCAAGTACCCACCCAACTGCACCTGTAAGTACCACCAACTGCACTGTAGTTTTAGGTGAAAAGACAAAAAATATCGCAATAATATCGTTATCGAATTACCTAAACGAATATCGCTCTAATTTCCATATTGTGCAGCTAATCTTTGCGTCAAATCCCTTTAGAGTCTGTGTGCCCACCGTCCAGGATCCTGGTCCTCAGCACCAGGCACAGAGTCAGACTCACATTGGTGCTTGTGTACATTGGGGGTTGTATAAATGTGTTTAAAGCCTCCTCTTCTGCTGCTCAGAGAGAGAGAGAGAGTGTGTGTATTAAAGCCTCTTTCCTCTCTGTGCAGTGGACCCTGTGCTGGTTCTCCCTGGTCCAGTGGGGGGATGTCTGGGACCATGTGGCGTCCAGAGCGTCCCAGTGGTCTTCCGCAGCCAAACAGCCCCTCTGTGCAGTGGGGTGGGGCGGGTTTTCTGTCGGGGCATCTACGGACAGGCTCGCAGGTACTCTTAATGCTGACCCTTGATCCTGTACCTTTACCCCGAACCTTATCCATGGTCCTTACCCGACCTGTAGCTCAGCTCCTGTATCCCAGCCTCTGTATTTCCTCCCCACACAGGTTGCCGACGGGAGCAGTAGTCTGCAGTGTGAGCACCGGGGTTGCGTGGTCAGACTCACCGGTAGTGGGGAGCGCTGGGGGAGGAGCCATGTAGCTGTGTTTCACTGCTCCAACAGTCCTGCAGGTGCTCTGTGGCCCCTACTGTCAGTATGAGGGGGGGGGGGGGGACCTCAAGCTGTCCTCAGGTTACAGCACATTTAGAGCTGCTTTAGAGCTGTCACATAGAGCTGCTTAGATCTGTTTAGAGCTGTAACTCTGTGTTTCCGAGGTCTGAGCTTGGTTAGAGCTGTATCTCTGTGTTCCAGGGTCAGAGCTTAGTTAGAGCTGTATCTCTTGTGTTCCAGGGTCAGAGCTTGGTTAGAGCTGTAATCTCTGTGTTCCAGGGTCGAGCTTGTCTAGAGCTGTATCTCTGTGTTCCATGGTCAGAGCTTGGTTAGAGCAGTATCTCTGTGTTCCAGGTCGAGCTTGGTTAGACATCAGCTGAATCTCTGTGTTCCAGGGGCAGAGCTTGGTTAGGCTCTATCTCTGTGTTCCAGGGTCGAGCTTGGTTAGAGCTGTATCTCTCGTGTTCAGGGTATGAGCTTGGTTAGAGCTGTATCTCTGTGTTCCGAGGGTCCGGAGCTTGGTAGAGCTTTAACCTCTGTGTTCCAGGTCAGAGCTTGGTTTAGAGCTGTATCTCAGTGTTCCAGGGTCAGAGCATGGTTAGAGCTGTATTCTGTTGTTCCAGGGTCAGAGCTTGGTTAGTGGCTGTATCTTCTGTTTTGTTTCCAGGGGTCAGAGCTTGGTCTAGAGCTGTATCTCTGGTTCAGGGGTCAGAGCTTGGTTAGAGCTGTATCTCTTGTGTTCCAGGGTCAGAGCTTGGTTCCAGGAGACGGCGACAGATGCTGTTCTAGTGAAAGGTAAGCTGCAGCTACAGGGGAACAACAGTCGTATGACACACACACACACTTTTCCTTTCACACTTTCTCACTTTTTTAGGCGGGGAAATGGAACTTTTTCATTCACCGTTCAGTCCCAGGGTCACCCCCAACCCAGCCTCGTTCCTGTGAATCCCCACTTACCCACTACCACCGGAAGGTAATGGACACCTAAGGAAACTGTGGAGCTTTATCATCTGGAAACTATCAGGAGCCGGCCAACCGCTTTAGTATCACAATATTACAGACAGTGAGAGGGTTTGAAGGGTTGAGAGGGGTGAGAGGGTGGAGGGGTGAGGGGTGAAGGGGTTATGGAGGGCAATTGGCGGTGAGCAAGTGAGACGGCAATGGGGTGAGGGGTTGAGAAAGGTGTAGGGCCATGGGTGTGATGGGTTGAGAGATGCATGGGGTTTAGGGGGGTAGAGAGTGAGAGGGTTTTTTAAAGAGGAAGAAGGTGAGAGGGTGACTGGGGGTGAGATATGCTGGAGGTGAGATAGGGGGTGAGAGGGTGAGCTGGCAAGAGGGTCTGAGAGGGGGAGAGTTAGACAACGAAGGACAGGCTATTAACCATGTTTCACTCCCGTACAGTTGATTCCAAACAGAGAGAGTGTATAGATTTGTTCTTATGTAGTCTTTTGGGGTGACAGATCAGTGCTGGTTCTCTTGGGGTCCCCTACCTCTCCGGACTCCAGCGCAGGCGACAGATAGCTCAGTTGGACCTCTTTATTTTAGAGCATTGGCCTTCAGGCCTGAAGTCGTTCAATGGCCCACCTCTGCACCTTCTCCACCGACTCCCACGATGACTGCTGTCGTTGTGTCCTTGGGCAAGACACTTAACCCCACTTTGCCCAAAGCCCCCACTGAAGATCAAGGCTATGCTCACACTCAGAGAGCAGCCGTCCTCCTGTGGACTCACCACCTGAGAGGGTCAGTGGGGCTGGTGCTGCCAATGAATGGACTTGGGTGGCATCTCTGACTGCAGTTTAAAACATGCCCCCCTGACCCAGAAATGGATTAAGTAAGGGTAGAAGTCCATGGATGGATGGATGGAGCGGGAAGCAGCGAGTCCCACTTTACAGATTGACCTCCTGCAGCCGACAACCATCACAGGTGAACTCAACGATTACACAACACACATGGGTTGAGGGGCTTTTGTGACTTTCTCTCCACTCCTGTTCTCCTCTCCCTCCTGGTCTCTCATCTCTGGTTCCTCCTCTCTCCCTGGTCCTCCTCTCCTGGTTCCTCCTCTCCTGATCCTCCTCAGGTCTGCGACCCAGGGAGGAGGTGTGTATATGACACTAGTGTCCAGCTCTCTCTTCAGTTCCAGCCTCAACGGAAACATGTGGAACTAGTTCAAGGAGATGGTCACTGACGCTCGGGCCAGAAGTCAAGGTCTGTGCAGTAGTAGTAGTAGTAGAAGTTGTGTTCAGTAGCAGTTGCCACCAGTTGTAGAAAATTAGCAGTAGCAGAATTAGTAGTGATAGTAACTTGGAGCAGGAGTAGTAGCAACGTAATTTGAAAAAGTTATGATGTCAAAAGCGTGAAACATTTAGTGGACATAAACATTTACCACAATGCATCTATAAAAAACGTCCATTAAAGGACTGGATCCTTCGGAGGCCAGTCTAACTATAAGACCTACATGGTCCACTCTCTATCCTAGGTGTTGATGGGTAACCGTGACGGACAGCAGTGTTGTGGCCGTGACCAGCGCTGGACAGATTGGTTGTTGCGAGGTTTGTCCGCCTGGTGCTTTCGCATTCCAACACAGCATCTACCTGCGGCTGGAGCTGCTGGGCTGTGCAGACAGTACATTCCACTCGGTCACAACCGGGGCCCTCCCCCTTCAGCACCAGCGGGGGGTGTGCGTGAGCGACAGTTCAGTGTCGAGGATGGACGCTGTGTATCGCCGGTCCCCAGGGGGCGCTGTGTGATGGGGTCAACGACTGTGGAGATGGATCTGATGAGAGGCTCTGTGGTGAGAATGCCCTAAACCTTGGATTGGTCTCTCGCGCCGCTTTGTGTCTCTCTCTGGTTGGCAAGGTTTAAACCAGGGGTGCTCACACTTTTTCAGCATGCGAGCTACTTATAAAAGGATCAAGTCAAAATGATCTACCTACTACAAAAATGCAAATCATATATTTATTTCAAAAAATATTCTTTATATCTACAATGTATGTTTATGTACATGCAAAACCGCATGAGCCAATATAGCACAACACAACACAATTACCTATGTACATTTTTTGTCATTACCCGAGTTTACTCTTATGACTTGCACTGAATTGAATCAGCCAGGGATGCATAGTCCAGAAAATTGGTGGTAACTCGCTGACAAGTTTGTCGTGGTTTAGCTTTCCTGCACTGAGCGCGGTTGTTTGCGCATGTGCAGTCACCTAAGTGTCAGTAAAACATTACTGAGTAAAACACAGATGTCATTTGACTGTGGTGCCATGTCCATGTGCCATGCCTGTTTTTTTTAAATCCAAATATTTCCCCTCCTCAGTTTATAAAATAATTTGCATCCACACATCTGCGTTATCAATCACATTCGTAACATTCCAAACATGTGCGTCTCTTACGTCCTGTCCTGCGTTGGGGAAAAAAACAGAAGTGGGCGGAGCTTTGATGCAGACGCCGGTAACGGAACTTTTACAGTCATAGAAGACACTCAGAGTAAAGACGTATGTTTACAAGCACTGACCCCGTCCTCAGCCCTGGTTTAGTCCTGGTTTAGTCCTGGTTTAGTCCTGGTTTAGTCCTGGTTTAGTCCTGGTTTAGTCCTGGTTTGGTTGTTTTCGAGCGCGAGTCCGATCACTCTGCTGCTCTCTGATGTGGAGGATGTTCGCTGCTGCGAGCATCTCACAGCGAACAGTTTTTAAGGTAGTATGATCCATGCTTCAGTGATCAGAGGAATTTAGGGGGGTACTGTGGCGTGCGAGAACGCAAAACTCCGGTTATTTCTGTCTACACACAAATGCACGGAGTTTTCAAAAATCTCCACTTTGCCCGGAGTTTTTTGTATATATTAGTTTAGAATGTGTAATTTTTTATTTATTTAATGCGATCTACCAATACTACCTTTGCGATCGACTGGTAGATCGCGATCGACGTATTGAGCACCCCTGGTTTAAACTAAAAAACGAAAAACTAAACTGAAAAACCCTGAACTTCTTCTCTCATAAACACACTCTCTGTGTGTCTCTATCTCTGACTCTACGTCTCTCTCACTTCTGTTTCTACGCGCCTGCTCTATGACTCTATACGTCTCTCTCACTTCTGTTTCTACGCGCCTGCTCTATGACTCTATACGTCTCTCTCACTTCTGTTTCTACGCGCCTGCTCTATGACTCTATACGTCTCTCTCACTTCTGTTTCTACGAGCCTGCTCTATGACTCTATACGTCTCTCTCACTTCTGTTTATACGCGCCTGCTCTATGACTCTATACGTCTCTCTCACTTCTGTTTCTACGCGCCTGCTCTATGACTCTATACGTCTCTCTCACTTCTGTTTCTACGCGCCTGCTCTATGACTCTATATGTCTCACTGTCTCTGTTTCTACTTTTTATCTGTATCTTTATCTCTGTCTCTATTTCTCTGTGTCTCTGTGTCCCTGTTCCAGTGTCTCTGTGTCTCTCTGTGTCTCTGTGTCTCTCTGTGTCTCTCTGTCTCTCTGTGTCTCTCTGTGTCTCTGTGTCATTAAGGACAGCCATGCACATTGTCCTAACATTAGTGTTGCTCACACGTCTACCTCATGACTGGTCAGCTGCTTCTACCATTTTGGCCCAGATGTTCCCAACACATTTTAAAGATACATGCTGTATATGTAGAATTTATAATAGCAGACACTACACTGTCCAGCATTTAGGTCTCACCTCCCAACCCGAGACTATTTTGTTGCATACTGTGAGGCAAGAAGTACTGCAGGTTAATGGTGCTTCAGTCTCTGTTGTGATTTCCCCTGCAGATCAGATCGATAACAGATATGACATTCAAGGGGCATTTACAGCAGATAATCTCGGGCTGTCAGAGCACACCTATCCAGTGGAACAGCTACAAGAACAGTTTTGTTACCTAAACAACATTCCACGTCAACCTATCGATCATGTACGTCCTCTTGTACTGATAGGGTCAGATTATGCCCACTTAATCACAGCAACTGAACCTGTGATGGTGGGTCCCCCTGGTGGCCCGTTGGCAATACATACCAAACTGGGATGGGCACTCCAGGGCCCTGCCAACTTAATTCCATCCCAGTATGATACTTCTTTTACAACGGCCACTTTGAGTTGTTGTTGTCATAGGCCCCAGTCTAGTTGGAGTTCTACTTAGGATTTGTCAAAACAAAGTAGCCATTTGTGGAGACATAAAGGGCATGTTTCATCAAATACGGCTCTTAGATGATGACAAACCCCTCTTACGCTTTATTTTCAGGGAAATGCAGCCAGACCAGAACCCAAGGGTTTATGAATGGCAGGTGCTGCCTTTTGGTACAACCTGTAGTCCTTGTTGTGCTATTTATGCAGTACAGAGGATGTAATAGATCACAGCGAAGGGAATGAGGAGATAGTCCAGTCAGTGCAGCAATGTTTTTATGTTGATAATTGCGTTCAGAGCCTCTCTTCATCTGAAGAAGCAAGATGTCTCATTGATAAAATGCGACCCCCATTGGCAGATGGAGGGTTCAATATAAGACAATGGGCAAGCAATGATCATAGTGTAAAACAACATCTCCCACCTGACGCAAGATCCAAATCTACTGAACTGTGGCTCTCAGATATTGGTGACCCAACAAAACTAACGTTGGGTTTACAGTGGAATTGCCTGACCGATACCCTGAGCTACAAAACCAGACAAGCCACATCTTATGACCTCACACTGCAAAATGTCTACAAGATTCTTGCGAGCCAATATGACCCTCTAGGTTATTTAATCCCCTTCACAACACGTGCAAAGATTCAAGTGCAAGACCTGTGGAAAGAAGAAAGAGAATGGGACAGTGTAATTCAATCAGACAAACTAAAGTACTAATGGTAATCATGGCAGAAGGAATTACAGACTCTTCATGTACTCAACTTTCCACGCTGTGTTCTACAGAAACCAAACGGTGCAGAAACCTCAGAGTTCCACATACATGTCTTTTGCGATGCATCAGAACGGGTCTATGGGGCTGTTGCATACCTACAGGTAAAAATGGAGTCGACACATGTTAGCTTTGTTATGGCCAGATCTCGCATAGCTCCAAAACGCCAACTTTCCATACCCCGTCTTGAGTTATGTGCGGCCCTATCTGGCGCCCAACTGGCTAACCTGTTAAGTACTGAACTGACTATTCCGATTACCTCAATAACCCTCTGGACAGACTCAACAACTGTACTGTTATGGATATGATCAGAGTCATGTCGTTACAAAGTCTTCATAGGGACAAGGATCTCCGAAATACAAACTTTAACAGACACTAAAAATGGGAGATATGTTGACTCAAAAAACAACCCTGCAGATGACATAACCAGAGGAAAGACTCTCGTGGATCTATCACAGCCCAATAGGTGGAGCCAGGGACCCCCCTTTCTACTTCAACACGAAAGTTCCTGGCCCACCTTTCCTCCTGTCCCAATCAGCAGTGAGCCTGTAGAAGAAATTAGGAAAACCATGGTCTGTGTTACACTAACGACAACAAAATCAAATGTACCTGATGTAAACAAATTTGACAACTGGACTGATCTCATAAAGGAAACCAAAGGTCTGCTAGATGGGACAGCTGATTATGACAAGTCGAACAGTGCTAAACTGTTCATTGAATCTGAAAAACTTCTCCTTCAACAAGTACAAATGGACTGTTTCCCAGAGGAACTAACTGCCCTAAAGATAAATAAGGAAATACCAAAACACAGCAAACTACTACCCCTCTCTCCTGAATATGATCCGGTCCTCAAACTCATCACGGTAGGTGGGAGACTTCAAAGAGCAGAAACCCTCGACTATGAAAGCCTCCACCCCATTGTGCTTGATGCCAATCATATAATAACTAAACTATTAATTCAACATTATGATGACATGTTACTCCATCCAGGTCCTGAGCGTGTTCTAGCTGAGATGAGGCGCAATTACTGGGTTCTGCGCGGCCGCCAAGCAATACGCAAGTATCAGCACCGTTGTCAAACATGCCAAAGATGGAGAGCAAATCCAATCATACCCAAAATGGCAGACCTACCCCCGGCACGACTCAGGTTGTCAAAACCAGCATTTTGGTCCACAGGAATGGATTGTTTTGGACCATTCAATGTGACAATAGGCCGCCGAACAGAGAAAAGATGGGGTTTGATCTTTAAATGCCTCACCACGCGTTGTGTGCACATTGAAACTCTTAGTAAACTCGACGTTGACACATTCTTGATGGCATTTAGGAGATTTGTTGCACGCAGAGGAAAACCTTTGAACTTATCTCTGATTGTGGAACAAATTTCAAGGCTGCTGAGGTAGAACTCAAACGTTCTTTTGAATCTCTGACCCGTACTTTAAAACGGGAGCTGGCCCAGTCACAAGTGCATTTTCAGTTCAATCCCCCATCAGCTCCACATTTTGGTGGTAGCTGGGAACGTGAAATTAAATCCATCAAGTCTACCCTGAATGTAGCAATAGGGAATCAAACTACGACAGATGTGATCCTAACTACTGTCCTGACAGAGGTTGAGAGTATTCTAAATTCAAAGCCCTAAGGATACATATCCTCCAATGTAGCAGATCTTGACCCAGTGACACCAAACATGCTTTTGATGGGGCGGCCAGATTGCTCCTTACCACAAGCAATCTACTGTGAGAGCGAACTTCAGGGCAAAAGGAAAAGGCGCCACAGTCAAATTCTAGCTGACAAGTTTTGGACAGCTTTCATACGCTACTATCTTCCTTCTCAACAAAATCGTGCAAAATGG